ATCATTACATTATGGAAAATAATGACCTTTATCACAATATGCTAATTATTTTTAGAAGGACTTGTAGATGTGTTGTGCAAAAACTATTTGTCTGGGAAAAACAAAAAAAACATTTGCCACTATGTAATGTAATCTGTATATCTGTGTTTGAGTTACACCTTACGTCTAAGTCTGCCTGCAGAATTTTTGTCAGCATCTTGAGTTCTTTAGACATAGTTTGTCTAAAGAACTAAGTATTTGGTGTACTTACTACTTACATGTCACAGCCACAATTTATTTTTCTTACTTTCTGTTTATTAGTCAAATTAAAGTCTCCATCTTGGCAACAAGAAGAATAAATGATGATGCATAACTGAAGTCTGTTGATCAGCAATCACTGAAATAGAAATGCAATGGAAAGGCCACAAGATTTGCATCCGCCATCTTGCTAGGTGCTATGTCCGTCACTGTGAACTGTTTACATGTCAGAACAACAGTGATAACTTAGATGTGCTGCATGCTGTCATCAGACTAAAAAAAGGGGAAAAGGTCTTAATTTACATAAGAGATAAAAACAGTCATGGTGCATTTTGTGGAAACAGGAAAAGCGTTTTCTGTAACGAACCTCCCAAAAGGAGCAGTCCAGCATATGCGGCAGCATAATGTGAATCTAACACGCTACCATGACAAATGAGCTGTAATCATTCTAGCTAAATCGGTATACATAACTGCTCTTGAAGTTGTTAAGTACTTTGTAGTCTAACCAGACCTCTGCTGCTAGTGTCTGCAGTTAATTGCACTTAAACCAAAAAAAAAAAAACCCAACTTATATTCCTAGGGCTATTTTGGCTGTAATACATTGTTTAAACTTGGATAACTGAGCTTTTGCTAGGCGATGCATTAATCATTTTCCTTCAAACAGGTAAACAGGCTTGTAGACAAAGGAATATTATTTTACAAAATCTATTATATTAATTTTGCTGGCCTGTGCCTACCAGTGTTGATGTAAAAACATTATTGTACTTATATAACAGTTTTAGGTTTTATATGATATGCCAATTATATATATTTTTTAAAGGCCCAAATATATGATAGTTTTGGCATTTTCGTGCACTTTTTTTATATATATATAAATTGAACACCTGCACATCATCAGACTGTGGACTGTGTGCTAGCCAGAGCAACCACCAGTTCAAACAAAAGCATTCACTTTTGTTTTTTCAGCCAATTAGTAAAAGTTATCCACATATGGAAGTCAGGAGATTATGTTGAATCTCCACTTTGTCACAGTCTCATCTGGAGTCAGCACAAAGGCAACAGTGGAAAGGAAAAACTCCCTTTTAACTGGAAGAAACCTCCAGCAGAACCAGGCTCAGGACGAGCGGCCATCTGCTTCGACCAGCTGGGGTTTGAGAGGACAGGAAGGAGAAACGCAAACATAGAATGACGGGTCCAGGCATACTTTATATTGGAAGACGGACAAAAAACACATGTTAAGGATATAAATAATTACAAATACCAGTCCAAACAGGTGGAGTAGAGCAAGTAAAGACAGCAGCAGAGTGAGGAAATGTGGTCAGTTTGTCCTGCAGCAGTTTAAGTCATTTTCGGCCTGTGGGTGACATCAATCCAGCCCATTTCATAGGTTTTTGTTTTTTTTGGGGGGGGGGGGGGGGGTGTCTGGGTTTGGATTTTGTGTTCTGTTTATTGCATTTACGATTCAATGCAATTAAACAAATGTAAAAGATAACAGATCATTTTAAACTTTGGTTTATTTGTATAATTATTTTAATCGCTGGATGTCCAGCCTCTGAGCTGTTGGCCTTCAGAAACTGTGGCCCCCTGAGCAGTTTTTTGTTGAAAAGCCCTGCCCTATAGGATGTTAGAAATGCAGCTGCCTGGACAAAGACAAAAAGGAAGGCCAAAGGAAAGAGCTATGGATGCTGTTAGAGAGGACATGGAGGTAGTTGGGTTGAGGACAGAGAATGCAGAGGACGTTGAGCTGGAGGAGGATGACGCACTGTGGCAACCCCTGAAGAGGGAAAAGTCGAAAGAAGTTGTATAAGCCTATAGCAGCATAACTAAGGGACAGCTCAGGAAACTCAAGTCAACCCTAACTGTAGGATTTATCAAAATGGAAAAACTTTAGCCCAGGCTTAAAACTGGACAATGTGTCATCCTCACGAACACAAACTGGAAGTTGGTTCCACAAGAGAGGAGTCTGATAACTGAAAGAGCTGCCTCCCATTCTACTTTTGGAAATTCTAGGAACCACAAGTAAACCTGGTTGTTTTACTCTGATAATAAACAATATTATCCATAATATAAGATGGAGCTAGGTTGTTGAGAACTTTGTAGGTTAGAAGTAATATTTTGAATTATATTCTGAATTTGGCAGGGAACCCGTGGAGAGAAGCCAAAACTGAAGCGAGAAGATCTCTCCTGTCATTAAAACTCTGGCAACAGCATTTTTGATCAACTGAAGACTTTAAAAAAAAAAAAAAAATTGGGACACCCAGATAATAAACAATTGCAATAATCCAGCCTAGATGTGATAAATGCATGGAGCAATTTTTCTGCATCATTTTTGGACGAGATGTTTCTAATTTTAGTGATATTGGGCAGGCGAAGGAAAGCAATTCTGGTAACTTTTTAATGTGGGGGTTAAAAGACCTGTCCTGATCAAACATTTTTACATTAGAACTGGAAGCCAAATTAATGCCATCCAGGGGAAGTGAAAGGCTGCAAAGTTTATTCCTAAGATGCTCTGATCCAAAAACCACAACCTATGTATTGTCCGAGTTTAAAAGCAGAAAATTAAGGGTCATCCTATGTCTTTAAAATATGCTTGTTGTAATCTAACTGTAATCAAACTGACTGGATTCATCAGGTTTCAGTGGATTAATATAACGGAGTATCATCATCATAACAATGAAAATTTATCCCATTCTGTTTTATAACTTTACCTAATGGAAGCATATTAAATAGTAAAGAGTGTTGGTCCAAGCACTGAACCCTGGGGAGCTCCATGACTAATGTTGGTGTATGAAGAAGATTCATTATTTACATTTACAACCCAGAATCTATCAAATAAATATGATTTAAACCAATTTAGAGCCCCAGCCCACACCACCCATTTGTCTTTTGTGCATATTTGCAAATCACAACACGCCTCATTTTACCAAACACACCCCACCCCCAGACATACACACACACACACACATAACACATTATAAATGAAAATACAAACATTTTTAAGCAACCATACAGGATTTTGTCATTTTTTTACCAAGCAGTCTTGTCATATACAGTACAATAATTATCCTATTTATACAATAGTTTTAGGGTCCATAGATTTACAATAAATATATTTTTTAAAGTCCAAATATACAATAGTTTTGACATTTACATGCACCTAAAAAACAAGATTTTTTTATTTATTTTTTTCCACATGAACACACACTGAAATTCCCAGCCAACCAGACAGACTGTTTGCTTGTCAAGTACATCCCCCACTCTTTTTGTACGCATATTCGCCCATCACAACATACATACCTCATCTTACCCTTCTCTTTCTGCTAAGCGAGAAACCACACCCTTACTCAGCACAAACAGTAGTTTGGGTCAAAATACCATAATTTTAAATTTAACAGTACAATATTTCATGATTTTCTATCTGGCAACCATGATGCCTACCTTCAGTAGTACCCTGCTTTACAGGCAGTTGTAGCAGTGTAGTCAAGAGAACATGACAACCCCTGATATAATAAATATAATGCAACATATTAAACTAGTAATGAAAATATGAGCGTTCTACCATGTTCTTTGAAATTCAAGTTCCGGTAATTATAATTAATGACAAAGCATGGAGCTTTTTGATAATAAGTGTTTTTTCCCCTCAGATATCCATGTCACGCTAAAGTAAAGATGCCATTTGGGCACCCACCAAGATGGCAGCACAAATTCTTGCCACAATAGCAATACTGTGGTTTGTCGTTCCAGTCCATCTCTCTTTCAGTGGTCAGCGGCCCCACGGTTCACGTTGCGGGAGTTGGGAGTTTTGATTTAAAAACCTGCATGCAGTCCGTTGTGACGTAAAAGCTCCTATTAGATCTGCACAGTTTCAGTGTTCTGCTGCGGGACTTATTTATCAGGTTATAGAGGACATTAAAGCTAAAGAAAATAGCTGGATTTGTCTTAGGCAACACTTCTATGCTCATGTGAGGGAACCGCAGGAGTCTGCGTGTAATGTGGTATTTCAAGGCTCTTGCGTAATATTTGCGGTAATTTAAAACAAGAGTACAGCTAATATGGATGATCCTTATGTAGACTGTTAAACCCAGGCCTAATAGGAGAAGAAAAACATACAAAGCACTGTGGCTTAATTAAAAAAAAATGTATAGCTGTGAAACTTGTGAGCTGTATGGCCATAATCACCATGTGATATTTTCTGTGTAAACGCTTAACTGATCAGTTTAAAGAGCTCTGACTTCATCGTGTTGGTGTTCTTGTCTCACGTCCTGTTTTTCTCTCTTTCTCCATTTTTTTTTTTTTTCACGAAGACAACAGAGACCGCTGCACCTACACTTATTTCTACGTCACGTAATTCTAAAGCTGATGGAAACGTCCAAGTGCAAATTATCAACCGCGTTTTGGAGAAACGGAACTCGGTTAAACTAAAGTCCAGTGTAAGAAAACGAAACGTTCATTTTGTCTTTAATCAGTCATTCCTCAGATTGTCTGTACATTACTTTTGTCATCTGTTACGAAAACAAAATCCTACAAAAATGCTATTTTAGCCATTTCATGGTTTATTGTATGATTATGCCTTCTGTATATTTTTCAGACAGTTAGTTTAAAAGAAGTGTAATGATCTGTTTGCTAGAAATCGTGTGATTATTTTCATGGTACATGTCCCAAAGGTAAGCAAACATGTAGCATCCTGAAAAACAGACAGCAACTTATCATTCCAGCCAGTATATTTTCTTTTGAATATTAAGGTGCTGTACATGCTATTAGTCAGAATGACTTGTTTGAGCTACTTTGTTGTTCATTATTTCTACATTTGACCCAACAATGATCCTGACAAGTCAGCTAGCGAAGTGATAGTCAGTCTTAGCACTGTGATAAGCAGCTCATCACATATGTATCATTGTTTAAATGAATATTCAGCGTTTGTTTTGTTGGGGGGTAAGATGCATAAGGTTTAATGTGCTCCCTTTTTTTTCCATTTAATGCTTTATTGATATGAAGTACATGCTGTCACTACAGTTCCACTTTGGATGACGAGGATCTTCCTTGTTAAATCAGCCCACCAATAAATTTTCTGCTGCCTGCGGCGTCCTGTCTCTCTTCACTTTTTTGGGAAAATAAGAAGTGGAGAAAAAAATATAAACTCACTTTCAGTTTGATAGTTTTGAGTGACTGTCAGGCTGAGAGTCCCGGCAGCTGAACAAATGGCTGCTGACTGGCAGATTAAGAACACGGTTAATATAAAAAAATTAAACATCTTATTTGATATTGACTTTAGTTGGCACGTGTCGCCTAACTGCATAAAGGTTTGAGTCTCAGTTCTACTGGAGTTTGGATGTTTTTCCTGCTGCAGAGCTTTAATTTCTTTTTACCGGATACTCCGGTTTCTTCAGCGAGATTAGGTCGGTGTAAAAAATGACTGAAACTCAACAATGCATTTAAATCAATGACCTGTTGATTAAAGACGAGCATATTTTAAGTTGTGTTTTAGAAAGTTTCAACAGTAACCCATTACAAATATCATTAGCTATCTTTGACCATGTTAAATTAATATTAAAAAATGCTTTTGTAAATTATTTTGGTAATGAACGTCATTTTTGATAAATCAATTTTAATATTTTTCACAAGTTTTATTTTACTGCCCATCATCCTAATTTGAATTCAGAAACCCTAATTTTTATGTAAAACAGAAAAGTTTTAAATGAAGTTATGTAGACCTAAAACTATTAATATCTTGTTTTATACGCACGTCAAAAAGGCAGATTGTAGTATTTTATATTAACTAGTTATATCAGTCATCTTTAATTCATATTTTCAAATGTCTTTTCAGTGAAGCAACAAAGTGGTTCCCAGCATGGTCCCTGAGGAACACCATCCTGCATGTTTTAGTTGTTTCTCTGCTCCAACACCTGATTTGAATGAAAGGGTGCCATGATCTTCAGCCATATAGCTTATTGTTCTACTACATGGTCTCACACTTCAGAGGCCATTTTAAAGCCCCTAAAGTCTCTTTTTAAGAAAACATTGAAAATTTTTGACAAAAAGCTTTTACTGTATCATTGTAGCATCATAAGTAAGTACAACATTCTGGATTTTGATAGCTGACAGACTTTTATGGATGCTTGCCTGATTTTTAAAGTTTTAAATGGACTTGCTCCTCCTCCTTTAATGTATTTTATAAGTAAAAAAAAAAAAAAAAAAAAAGTACAGTAAACACAAGAGCACTGACCAGAGGAGATTGTAATGTACAGTGGTGCAGAACTAAATTTGGCCAAATGGTGGTGTCCATCAGAGCCACGCAGTCACACTACATATATATATATATATACATATATATATATACATATATATATATATATACATATATATATATATATACAGTGGTGGAGAAAGTACTCAAACACTGTACTTAAGTAAAAGTACAAATAAACAGACAAAAATGTACTCGAGTAAAAGTACCACATTAACATTTTTACTTAAGTAAAAGTAAATAAGTACTTGCTTTTAAAATACTTAAAGTATTAAAAGTCAAAGTACTTGCTGAATGTATTACCTAATGTAATGGTCTACATAACTTTAAGTCTGCGTACCATATGTCTATTTTCTGTAATACATTAATAGTGTTGTTCCATTTTAATGAACATTGCTGCAGATAATTCATGTTTTTATTGTGTTTACTCTGTGACACAGTTCACACTTGGACTTGTGATTCTGTGCGCTAGAATTTCAGGGATGACATGCAGAGTTAAATTACATTAATCAAAATAAGAAAGAGGAATGATTATACCTTTGAAAGTTTTTATTTAACACAAATCAAAACCAATTTGTCATTTAAACTGCAGTAAAACATTTAAGTAAAAGTTGTCTGCCTGAACAAAAGGAGCGTTATGGTATGGTATAAACTTTATTCATTTTAAAAAATACAAAACAATTTCATAACAATATAAAAAATATACAAGAGATTTAAAATGAAAGTCAGCAGAAGAAGAAAAAATCTTATATCTGCCCCTTTTTTCACACAATTAATTCAATCACAATAATTTTCAAGTAATAGAACAAAATGAATAACTCTTTTTAATTTTTCTAATTAGACACAACTGACAAAGGAACAGGCTCTGATCATTTCCACTGATATTTCAACTCAGTTTGTCATCAACTCTAGTTAAACTACTGTCTATTCAACCTTGTAATGGGTCAATAATGAACAATATTTTAACTTCCGGGGCAGCACGGTGGCGCAACTGGTAGAGCTGCTGCCTCTCAGCGAGCAGGTCCTTGGTTCAAACCCCGGTCCAGGGGCCTTTCTGGGTGGAGTTTGCATGTTCTCTCCGTGCATGCGTGGGTTTTCTCCGGGTGCTCCGGTTTCCTCCCACAGACCAAAAACATGCATGTTAGGCCAATTGGTAACTCTTAATTGTCCCTAGGTGTGAGTGAGAGAGTGAATGTTTGTTTGTCTCGTTTGTCTCTATGTGGCCCTGTGATGGACTTGCGACCCATCCAGGGTGTACCCTGCCCCTCGCACAGTGATTGCTGGACATGGGCACCGGCGACCCCCGTGACCCAAAATGGAATAAACGGGTAAAGAAAATGGATGGATGGATGGATTTTAACTTCCTGACACCATTTTCAAAACTTGGACCCGAGTGTCGAGACATTTGGAGACATCTCTTGTTTCCTAACATCATGAACTGAAACATTTTAATATTACAGCAAGAATTTCTTGTTCAAGTTCAGAAGAAGTTGGTTTTCAAAGATCTTTGAGTCCAATCTGGCTCTTTTGGGAGAGAGAATCTGTCCTGTTGTACTAAGCAGTCTTTCTATAAGGCCATGGGTGGAGCATATCTTCTGGCTGACTCTTGTGGTGGAATACATTTTGGGTGTGTTAGTGGTGCTGCGGGTGCACCCAGCTCAGTGACATATTTACTAGAATATATGTCATTGGTCCAGCTCTTCTTGAAGGCGGGCCTAACGTTACCTGCCCACTTTGCAGTGATTAACTGGACCAGCTCCCCTCTCACCATTGGTTACTTTCAAACTAACAAACAAATCAAAAAGCCACAACATGATTGTAACTTGCAACGAGTTATAGAAATGTAGTGTAGTAGAAAGTACAGATACTTGATGTAAAATGTAGTGGAGTAAAAGTATAAATTACCCACATCTAACTCTACTTAAGTAAAGTACAGATACATGAAAAATGTACTTAAGTACAGTAACAAAGTATTTGTACTTAGTTACATCCCACCACTGTATATATATATATATATATATATATATATACAGGTCCTTCTCAAAAAATTAGCATATTGTGATAAAGGTCATTATTTTCCATAATGTAATGATAAAAATGACACTTTCATATATTTCAGATTCATTGCACACCAACTGAAATATTTCAGGTCTTTAATTGTTTTAATACTGATGATTATGGCATACACCTCATGAAAACCCAAAATGCCTGTCTCAAAAAATTAGCATATCATGAAAAGGTTCTCTAAACAAGCTATTAACCTAACCATCTGAACGACGTAACTCTAAACACCTGCAAAAGATTCCTGAGGCTTTTAAAAACTCCCAGTCTTGTTCATTACTCAAAACACAATCATGGGTAAGACTGCCGACCTGACTCTGTCCAGAAGGCCATCATTGACACCCTCAAGCAAGAGGGTAAGACACAGAAAGAAATTGCTGAACGAATAGGCTGTTCCCAGAGTGCTGTATCAAGGCACCTCAGTGGGAAGTCTGTGGGAAGGGAAAAGTGTGGCAGAAAACGCTGCACAACGAGAAGAGGTGACCGGACCCTGAGGAGGATTGTGGAGAAGGGCCGATTCCAGAGCTTGGGGGACCTGCGGAAGCAGTGGACTGAGTCTAGAGTAGAAACATCCAGAGCCACCGTGCACAGGCGTGTGCAGGAAATAGGCTACAGGTGCTGCATTCCCCAGGTCAAGCCACTCTTGAACAAGAGACTGCGTCAGAAGCATCTCGCCTGGGACTGCTGCTGAGTGGTCCAAAGTTATGTTCTCTGATTACAGTAAATTTTGCATTT